TGAGGTGCGTAAAGTGTTTAGTTCTCGGGGGATAGTTTCTAGCAATATTTTTTGATTTGGTTTGTATGGATGGTCTGTCGTTGGTGTGCGTCTGATTCCTAAGTAAGGAATGCTGTTTGTTTCCCATAAAAATGGGAATTGTTTGGCTAGTTGTGTTTGGAGTTGGGCTGAGATGTGAAGGTTAAGTATGGAAGATTTGGGTTCATTAAGTTTGTAGTATGAAACTGTTGAGTAGGTATTTAGGTGTGAGTGAATCGTTTGCAGGGATTTTTTTGGGTTGGTCAACATTAATATTATATCGATTCCTGTAAATGTTCTGTCCTCTCTGAGTTTGTAAGCTAGTGGTTCAATAAGCAATGCAAATATTATCGGGGAGAGTGGGCAGCCTTGTCTTGTACCGTTTGAGATGTCGAAGGGATCAAATAATGTGCCATCTGTCAGAACTCTAGCGGATAGGTGTGAATATAATGACAAGATGGCTTTCATCATATTCACCAACCTGTGACGCCAAATTTTTGAAGTGTGAGTTTGCATGAATTGCCAATGTATCCGGTCAAATGCTTTCTCTGCGTCCAAAGATAGGAGTAAGGAGGGGGCCTTAGTACTTTCTAAGTTGTGTAGGAGGAATATAATTCTTTTGGTAGCATCAGGTGCTTAGCGACCTGGGATGAAACCTACTTGATCCGGGTGTATTAGGGTGGGTAGGTAAGGGAGAATTCTTCGGGATATGATTTTCGCGTATAGTTTTATGTCGGTATTGAGTAGCAGAATTGGCCTGTAGTTTTGGATGAGTTGGGGTCTTTGCCTGGTTTTGGTATTGTCATTATGATAGATTGCAACATGTCTTTGGGGTATGAGCCTGTGGTGGCAGCATGATTGAAGAGTTTGGTCCGGTGTGTGATGACAGTTCTGTGGTAAGGTGTTTATAGTATTTGTCAGTATATCCATCGTTTCCTGGTGATTTATTAATTGGGAGTGTTTTAATGGTCGTTTCTATTTCTTTGGGTGATATTGGGGTAGAAATGGAGCCAAGTTGGTCTGAGGATAGCTGAGGGAGATTGGTAGTTTGGAGAAATTGTTGTATGGATGTGATTGTTGGTTGAATGGTGTCAGGGTCATTTTTAAGGTTATATAGATTTTGATAGTATACTGCAAAGGGGTTTGCTATGTCTTGCGGGTTTGTGCTTAGTCTATTCGTAGATGGGTGTTTAAATGAGGCTATTTTGGATTTCAGCCATTTTTGTTTTACCGATTTGGCTAACAATGAGCTGGCTTTGTTACCTAGAGAGTAGAATTTTGCTCTAATTTTTTGGAGATTTAGATCATATTTGTGGAGTAGAAGAGATCTTAATTTATTTCTATCTGCTGTCAAAGACGCAGAGATTGTTGGGTCTTGAGATTTTTAGTTTTTTTTCCTCATTTGTTTTGATTGATGTTAGGAGGTTATCTATTTGTTGGGTTCTGTGTTTGTTGATGCGGGCGTTTAGTTGTATCAGATTACCTCTCATGTATGATTTATATGTTGACCACAGAGTGGTTATGGATATATCAGGAGTATCGTTAAATTCAAAGAATGTTCTGTGTGCATCTATTATCTGTTGTTTGTAGTCTTGGTTTTTCAGCAGGAACGCGTTCAGTTGCCATAAACGGGGTATCGACGAATGTTGTTTGCTGTCAAGAGAGATTGTGATCGGAGCGTGGTCTGACCAAGTAATAGTACCAATCTTGGAGGAGGTGATGTGTTGCAGCGTCCATTTATCGGTGATGAAGAAGTCGATTCTAGAGTAGGATGAGTGGGATGGAGAATAGTAGGTATAGTCCTTTTCTGTACTGTGCTGGCATCTCCAGATGTCATAGAGATCGTTAGAATGAAGAAATTGGTTGAAGGTCTGTTTTGAAGATCTTTTGTTGGATGAGGAGTCCAGAAGAGGATTACCGATAATGTTAAAGTCCCTGCCGATAAGTAGTCTGCCTTTTCTGTGTTTATTTATGGTGGAGTTAAGTTTGTTGAAGAATTGGATTTGATTGGTATTAGGACCATAGATGTTGACCAATGTATATGTAGTTTCGTTGATTTTGCAGATCAATATGTGGCAGCGACCTTGTGGGTCCGCTGTTGCCAAAATAAATTGGAACTTCAGGGAGTCTCTTATGGTTGTAGTGACGCCGTTTTTCTTTTTAGGATTCGTTGCCATATATACTGTGGAGAACTGAGGAATGTTGAATTTAGGGATTTTGGATGAAGCGAAGTGTGTCTTGTCACGATCGCAGTGTCAGACCAAAGCCCTTCTCACCAAACTCGTGATCGAAGGACTAGCCGATCTAAAACCGTGATGTCATGTGTGTAACCATGCCACACCCAGCTGCACCCTGCACCACGATTTTCCAGCTAACTGGACCACAATCGATGTACCGGCAGCCTGAGTGATTGTTACTGGGTCAGGTTAATTATGCAATTAACCCTTCACACTGCCACCACCTCCTTTTTGTACAGAGAAAGAGGAAACTCGGCAATATCAGCTAAAACACTATAATGGTTGAGATAATCGTCTGCATAATAAGGTCACTGCAGGCTGATTATGCAGAGGGTTAAACACACATAGTAGCATCTCTTTAGAGGCAGGGATTCGCAAATTGCAATAAAGCGCTATAGAAACAGTTCAACACTTTCAGAAGGAAAGATTTATTACTTAAAGGTCAAACGGGTCAAACGGGTGCAATAAAAAATATTTACAGAAAAGATGTAACTAAGATATATATATATAAACATACAGAGACCAACAGCACAGCAAAGAGATATCAGAAAGAAGTGAAAGGGTTAAGGTACTTAGCAAAGTCCTGGGTTAGCAGATCAAGTTTCAGAGCAAAAGGGCACGGGTCTCCCCAGGTGGTATTGATGTTAAAATGGGAGACGTCTTCAACTAAACTTCTCATAGGCCTGACAGCCCAATTTGTAGTTCCCCAGCAGGGGGTGTCTCTGACGTCAAGGAACAATACCCCGTGTAGGGCATGGAGGTCTGGGTGTCGACCTAAACTAGAGCCAAAATCTTGTGTAATTCATATTTGGGCTCATAACCTTTCCTATGCACAAGTGACATTCCACCCGCGGGTAGATTATTATGCAGACACGTCTGAGGATTGATTAGAGATGAAATATGTAATTCTATACTGAACGGTTCACGAGATCTATTTTTCTGCTTTCCTATGTATTCGAGACAAGGCAAGTGACTCATCAAATTGTCCGTCTTTTCTTAGCCAATCTGACGATATGTCTGGTTTTTATGTAAGTCTCTCATATTCCAAGATATGAGACATAGGGAAAAAATGGATTTGAAAAGTGTTGATTCTGTCACATACTCTGAGTTAGGTTTATTAGGTTGGAATCTCTTTCAACTCCTGGGAAAGCTTGCCTTATCTCTTACGAGGTGTTACAATTTGCAGGTTCTATGGATAGGGAGGCCCCCAGCTTTATAGCTCCTATGACCCTTCTGTGACACACATACACACTGGCGAAATGTTGCTGGGACTCTCAGAAAGGGAGGGGATAAGAATGAGGGAGAAATATATTTGTCAGGATGGTTAAACCCTTTGCCAAGATGGAGGTTGAAGCCAAAATGGTTCAACCACGTCCATCTCTGGGTATACGCTGTTACAGGTCTCTTGTAGGAATACGATGTCAGGTTGAATGGTGCGGACTTCTCTCGAAAGCAGGGACCTTTTGAAGGGGGAGTTGAGACCTCGGACATTTAGCGAAGATATAGTTATCATTTTGTTGATTGTAGATGGTTTGAATTCCATAGCTGTGGTGATTCAGAAGCTGTGAAGAGGAGTGGTTTTTCTCATGGTGGAGGTGATGGACCCTCAGGTGTGCAAGTTTTGTGAGCAAGGGATTGTTATTTTTGTGGATTGAGTGTTCAGTTGTGTGGAGGGGGTTGTTAAGAGGGGCAGTTCTAGCGACTGATAACTGGTAGCTTGGGGTATAAACAAGGGTAGAAACAGGGGTAAAAAAGACTTGCAAACAACGCTAATACCGTATTTTTCGCTCCATAAGACGCACTTTTTTCCCCCCAAAAAAGGGGGGAAAATGTCAGTGCGTCTTATGGAGCGAATGTAAAGCAGTTGGTCCGGTATTTCTGCCGCCACCATGTCAGAATATCGGGCCGGCCGCTCAGCTCTTCTCTCCTGCAGGACCTTACCTGTTCCTCGCTCCAGTGCTGCAGTCTTCCCGCGGCGGCTTCTGTGACAGCCGGGTGCCCACTGCACATGCGCGAGAAGCGCCGCGCTTTGTGAATGGTCGGTCCCAAAAGGCTCCGGGCCATTCACAAAGTGCAGCGCTTCTCACGCATACGCAGTGGGCACCCGGCTGTCATAGAAGCCGCCGCGGGAAAGAAGGAAGGACAACTCCGTGGAAGTGGGAGCGGGTACCTGTCAAATTCAGGTACCCGTTCCCCCTCCCTCCCCAAAGGTCCGCAGTATCTGGTAATCTTCTTTACTGTCTGCGGTCTCTGGTCATCCCCTGTACTGTCTGCAGTCTCTGGTCATCTCCTGTACTGTCTGCAGTCTCTGGTCATTCCCTGTACTATGTCCGCAGTCTCTGGTCATCCCCTTCACTGTCTGCCATCTTTGGTCTTCTGTACTGTGTCCGCAGTCTCTGGTCATCCCCTGTACCGTGTACGCAGTCTCTGGTCATCTCCTGTACTATGTCCACAGTCTCTGGTCATTCCCTGTACTGTGTTTGCAGTCTCTAGTCATTCCCTGTATTGTGTCCGCAGTCTCTGGTCATTCTCTGTACTGTGTCCGCAGTCTATGGTCATCTCCTGTACTGTGTCCGCAGTCTCTGGTCATTCCCTGTACCGTGCCTGCAGTCTCTGGACATCTCCTGTACCGTGTCCGCAGTCTCTGGTCATCTCCTGTACCGTGTCCGCAGTCTCTGGTCATCTCCTGTACCGTGTCTGCAGTCTCTGGCCATCTCCTGTACCGTGTCCACAGTCTCTGGTCATCTCCTGTACCGTGTCCGCAGTCTCTGGTCATCCCCTGTACCGTGTCCGCAGTCTCTGGCCATCTCCTGTATCGTGTCCACAGTCTCTGGTCATCCCCTGTACCGTGTCCGCAGTCTCTGGCCATCCCCTGTACTGTGTCTGCAGTCCCTGGTCATCTCCTGTGCTATGTCCGCAGTCTCTGGTCATCTGTCCTATGTCCGCAGTCTCTGGTCATCTCCCTGTACTGTGTCCGCAGTCTCTGGTCACCTCCTGTACTATGTCCGCAGTCTCTGGTCATCCCCTGTACTGCGTCCGCAGTCTCTGGTCATCTCCTGTATTGTGTCTGCAGTCCATTGGTTCAGAATATTTTTTTTCTTGTTTTTCTCCTCTAAAACCTAGGTGCGTCTTATGGTCAGGTGCGTCTTATGGAGCAAAAAATACGGTAATATGTGTAGCAGTATCTGCTACTTTGTAGAGTGGAGGCTTGAGAAAGCATGGCTCTTTCGAGAACTCATGGTTGAGACGAACTTGGACGATCGATATGTTCGATCAGGGGCCAATTGCCAGCTTGTGTGTTAGAGAGTGGTGCCCAGGGAATTGGGCGTGAAAGTAATATACTTGAGTGCTTGAGAGGAGGCTATGACCATTCTGCTTCCATCTGTTGCGGCCGGTTGGACACTGGTTGGTGGGAATCTGCCAGTATTATGCTCCACGATTTCAATAGTTTGATGTCTGCCTCTAGGGATTTAATTGTGTAGAATCTGCCTTGGTATCTGACATCACATTGATAACTGATGTTGTGATTCTGTAGTGCTTTGGTTATGCTGATGAGCTTCTTACGGTTGGAGTGTGGCTTTGGACAGGTCTGCGAACAATTTAATGTTTGCTTGGGCTGGAGGAATAGAGGTCGGATTTCTTGCTGCAATAATTTTTTCCTTCACGTGGTAAAAATGTATGCGCGCCAATATGTCTCTGGGGACCGTCGCAGGTAGAAATGATGGTTTGGGGATTCGATTTGCCCGATCTATAGCCAATTACACGTCAGTGAGGGTGGGGATGAGATTTCTCATATATTGTTGTAAATATGGGGACTATGGCATCTGTGGTGATGGACTGTGGGATCCCGCGGAATTTAATGTTGTTTCGTCTGGAACGATCTTCTAAGTCTGCCAGTTTGAGCCTGATTTGTTCGATGTCTGTCTCATGGTCTGTGTGTGCATCTATAAGATCGTTATGTTCGGTACACATTTCCCCTAGTTTGTTCTCGATATGGCGGATGCGTTTTTCTTGATTTTTGACAGTATTTGAAATTTGGGATAATGATGCCATCAGGTCATGATGTAGTGTTTGTCTCAGAGAAAGGAGAATTTCTTCATGGAAATCTCCATGATAGGTTGGTCAGAAGCAGGATAGGATTCAATTAAAGATGGAGCATTACCAGATAGGATAGTATTTGAAAGAGAAGATTATTGTCTGTCAAGGGGTGATCCTGTGTCCAGTCTGGGCCTGGATGTGGGAGACGGGGGGGGAGAGGACTCACCAGGATTCCCTGGATAAGGCGATTCCTTCAGTCTGGGGTCCGGATGGAATGCTGCCTGGTGGTCTGTGGTCTCCCCTTGCTGCTGTTGCTGGGCAGACAAGCCGTTCTGCAGGGGGCCGGCGCCAACTTGGATGCAGGGGCCGAGCGCTAGGAAGAAGCTGGTCATCTTACCAGGATGACCCAGCGTTTTCCTCCTGCGGGTCATAGCCAGTTCAGATGGCGAGGGGTTAATGGCTCTTATGAGCTTATTTATAATCCCTGGGATCGTAATGTGCCGATGTCATGCTGGCGGGTGGACGGAGCTCTCTTCAGTGAGCGTCCATCCCCGGAGCCAGCCGTGCATGCGTCCCCAACATTTCTTTTTTAAATATCAATGAATTTGATACATATTGGACAAAAGTTTGAAGCTGAAACCCCTTGAATGAATCAAGGGTTGTAAACCCCAGAAAACTTAAAATTCCAATTATATACAAACAACAGGCAAGCACTTATGACATAACAGGAAAAAGAATAATGCTCTATGTCAATTTTACTGTTCGATTTTTTAATATTCATTTGATGGAGACAAGTATATTTATATAAGTTTATAAGAAACACACCTTTCCAACTGTTTATTTATACATAAGATAAAAGTTATTTTTCCTTCATGACTATTCCATGATGTGGTATCCCATGTGAACTGAAGAATCATAGTACACTAATAGTCCTTTAAAGTACAGTATGCAATATAGACTGTGAGTGATGGAAAATAAGGTGGAAATGTGTCAATTATAAACTCATTGTACCAGTTTATGGCAGCAAAATGGGAACTGCGATATCAGACTCTATCTTAGGTTATTCAAATAGTATTTATAATAATGACCTCTGGGTAGTAATGGAAAGTGCAAATTTCCAAATTCAAGTAGATGGCATATAAACGTTTTACAGCTGTTAGAATGGAATGGGACAATTCTATCAAGGATGTGGAGCCACTGCATATTCTATAAAAAAAAACGATGGTTGTTTAGGATGTTATTTGGCAGGCTTGAGACCTTGAGATCTTCTAAGTTTCTAAAACTTCAGGAAAGACAAAAAGTGAACATATTGGAGATGAAAATGAAAGTTTGTGGTGCCCTTCTGTCCCCTTTACCATATTTGTGCAACAAAAGAGAAGAATACATGTGATGGGACTTTAAACACACCTCCAATGGTCAAATATACACACAACAAAAAATGTTAAAAAACATTTACATATCTTTATTACAACAGTTTAAAAACACTTCAGTTAAAAGACATATAGCATACAGTGCATCAAGAAAGTATTCACAGCGCTTAACTTTTGCCACATTTTGTTATGTTATAGCCTTATTCCAAAATTAATTAAATTCATTGTTTTCCTCAACTTTCTACAAACAATATTCCATAATGAAAACGTGAAAGAAGTTAATTCTATATGTCTATATTTGAGATCCAAGGTCCTGATGAAGTGGGCCATCCTGAGAAAAACGTTTATGTGGAAGACAAGTGGTAGAGTTGGTGGTGTCCTACTATAAACTATATATGTCTTTTAACTGAAGTATTTTTAAACTGTTGTAATAATGATATCTAAACTCTTTTTACATTTTTGCTATGTGTATATTTGACCATTGGAGGGTTATTTAAAGTCCCATCACATGTATCATTCTCTTTGGTTATGCTTTATTTAGGGATGATACCCTCCATTGGTACAATTTGTAACTAACGCCATTCCCCCACACACATTGCTTTTACTCACCATACTTGTGATGATTGGGTATATAGAATATTAGAAACCTATAAAGAAATATATTTTTTTTTTCCAAAAAATACCACTCCCAATATTAGTGATAATTAGCGGTGCATTGTGTGTCTGTGATACACTAATTACTTTTAATAATTTCTATATACAAACATATTGATAGATAATTACATAAATCATATGTGACATAAAAAAATTATATGTGACATAAAAGATAGAAAATAAAAATGTAAAAATATATATATAATAGTGCCCAAAATAAACACCATATCACATAAGTCCAGTGAAACACTGTGATTAATACAGTAATAAATTCCAAAAAAAAAAAGTCCAAAAAAAATCTTCCACAGTGTAAATTCTCTGTAGCTCCCAGTGCAGAAATAAATAAATAACCCATATGGCTATGCCTTTAATATACCCCCTCTTAGGTGTGCACTCACCAGAACATAGCCTTTAATGAGTCTTATTGCATAAATTCCAGATATCCGGATCATCAGAACACAGCCTTTTTCCACTTTATTATATAGATTCCAAATTATCAATTTCAAAAATATTAAGACCGGAAGGTTCCTCAAATAATCACCCATGATAAGAATGGTAGCCAGGATCATAATATATATTCCTCTCCATAGTTACATAGAAAGAGAAAGAAATTCGCTCCAATCGTGTATTACCAAAGGTAAACAACTTTAATAAGCCAAAATATTGCAAAAATAGTTAAGCCTTTTTAAAATAGCCTTTTAGTGAGATAGATACCTCTTACCACCTCTGGATCTGCCAAACAGAACAACGTCACATCACTTCCGCTCCGCCGCACTCTGACATGTTTCGTCGTATCCTGACTTAATCATAGGGATCCCTATGATTAAGTTAGGATACGATGAAACATGTCAGGGTGTGACGCAACTGGAAGTGACATGACAGCGTTCTGTCCGGCAGATCCAGAGGTGGTGAGAGCACCAGCGGTATCTGTCTCACTAAAAGGCTATTTTAGAAAGGCTTAACTATTTTTGCAATGTTGTAAGTGCAATATTTTGGCTTATTAAAGTTGTTTCTTTCTCTTTCTATGTAACTATGGAGAGGAATATATCTTATGATCCTGGCTACCATTCTTATCATGGGTGATTATTGGAGGAACCTTCCGGTCTTAATATTTTTGGAATTAATAATTTGTAATCTATATAATAAAGTGGAAAAAAAAAAAAAGGCTGTAATCTGATGATCCTAATATCTGGAATTTATGCAGTAAGGCTCATTAACCCCCCTAGCGGTATGATTATGTCCATATTTCTGTGCTCAAAGCGGTACATTTTTTTGCATGGAAATATGTTTTTTTTAATGAAGGCCTGCAATTTTTAGAAATAACTCACTGAAATCTGTCCGAACAAGAGTCTGGTAAACATCCCGCGTAAGATAAAACTTGAAACACGAAATCATAAATTATAATTTAATAAATAATCATAAAAAATAATAATAATAAATTTAATTCAATAATATAATCAAACCAAAAACAATGAAACTTGAAATATAGCGCCAAGTTCGCACATCACTGAGCAAAGTCGCAAAATCGTTTTCAGTGTCTGATTACGAATTTCCCCACGAATCATTATCACTCAATTCTGCAAGTGGTTCTGATTTACTATCCCTGTTCTCTAACTGGTCTAAAACCGCTTTTGACCGAAAGGTACACTTTTTGGACACCATGGATGTTTCTCAGTTTCCAGGCAGAAAGAACAGTAAAAATGCAGGCAGGGCACAGGACAAAGCACTAGGGACAAAATGTATGTGAAATGGTTTGATACAGTAATGTTTTACTATGTGATTTTAGTGATTTTAGTGAATGTCACTTTTTGTCATTTTCAAATTTCCCACCGTTCCGTCCCCCCGTACGTCCCAACGCTCGCAGGGGACGGAACCCAGATGACAGATGCCGGTATCCGCCGGATTACATTGCCGGGGACACTGCCGGAGGGACATCGTGGGAGCACAGAACAAGGTAAGTGATCGAGGGATCCCGGAGCAGCGCCGCATGGTAAGCCCGAGTGTAGCTCGGGGTTACCGCTTGTGGTACTGAAACTTTACCCCGAGCTACACTCGGGAATACCACCAGGGAGGTTAAAGGCTATGTTCTGGTGAGTGCACACCTAAGAGGGGGTGTATAAAAGGCACAGCACATGGTTTATTTATTTATTTCTGCACTGGGACCTACAGAGAATTTGCACCGTGGAAGATTTTTTTTTGGACTTTTTTTTTTTTTGGAATTTATTATTAATCACACGTGTTTCACTGAACTTATGTTATATGGTGTTTATTTTGGGCACTTTTATATATATATTTTTTTGATTTTTATTTTCTATCTTTTATGTCACATATCATTTTTTATGTCACATATGATTTATGTAATTATCTATTAATATGATTGTATATAGAAATTATCATTATAAGTAATTAGTGTATCACAGACACATAATGCGCCACTAATTATCACTAATATTGGGAGTGGTATTTTTTGGAAAAGTTTGACATAGTATTTAAAGTGGCAGCTGATTGGATATAATATTGAATATTTAAAAGCATCAATTGGCGCTGTTTAGTGATTAACATACCCTTTAAATCACTCTGCAAAATAATATAAAAAATATATGTTTTCCTTTACATTTGTGCACAATCCAATTATGGGGAAAATAAATAAGCAGTATTTTTATTTTTTTAATAAAATACCAGGAAATGTATTTGGCCAGAACAGCTTTGAGCCTATCCAGTATATTATCTATGTACCAGTTTTTGTTAAGAGAATAAAATGTCAGTCACACACTGAAAATTTAGATAGTTGTGTGTTTGTCCAAAGATTAGGAGTAGTAGCCCTAAAATAGAAGCTCTGTCTCTAATTTCTTAACATTATCAGCCAAGAACTTAAAGTATACAGTATGTGAACCTTCACCTTGTAAAACAACCCATTCCATTTAAAATAGAGATGAAAAGCAAAACATTTGTGTATACTGTATATAATAAATATAAATACTTTTTTTCCTCTCTTTTATAAGTGATCACATATCCTCTGTTCTCATCTGTATAAGGAGCTCAGAGAGCTGGTTGAGGAGAATCAGCAGTACACTAGTCTTCCTAGTAAATGCCTGTGCAGGGACAGCATGTCAGCACAAGCTTGATCATTGGAGGAAAGCAGGCTTCTCAGCACTCAGCACAGAAGGAAAACTGAGTGTTTTCTGCCCATCCTAGGAAAGCAGGGGGACTGGCAGGAACACCAGGGATTTCACACATAGGAAACAATACAAAGAGAACATGATACTTGTTAACACAATTACATGGTACAGCAGGCACATATCAGGAATATGAAATGTTGGATTTACATATTCCTTACATCCTCAGCAACTAAGGGTAAAACAAATTCCTGAACACAATTTTGCAACTTTGGCATGCATTTGTAAAACCGTAGAAAACTGGCCCAAAATAGTAAGATAAATATATATTTCTTGCTACTACTATCATGTACCACCAACGAACAACCCAAATTAAATGTTCCTGCTCCTGATGATTTCAGTGATAACACATACAATATATTGCCAAAAGTATTGGGACGCCTGCCTTTACACGCACATGAACTTTAATGTTATCCCAGTCTTAGTCCCTAGGGTTCAATATTGAGTTGGTCCACACTTTGCATCTATAACAGCTTCAATTTCCACAAGGTTTAGGAGTGTATCTATGGGAATGTTTGACCATTCTTTCAGAGGCACATTTGTGAGGTCAGGCACTGATGTCAGACGAGAAGGCCTGGCTCACAGTGTCCGCTAACTCATCCCAAAGGTGTTCTACTGGGTTGAGGTCAGGACTCTGTGCAGGCCAGTCAAGTTCCTCCACCCCAAACTTGATCATCCATGTCTTTATGGACCTTGCTTTGTGGGAACAGGAAGGGGCCATCCCCAAACTGTTCCCACAAAGTTGGGAGTATTAAATTGGCCAAAATGTCTTGCTATGCTGATGTCTTAAAAGTTCCTTTCACTGGAACTAAGGGACAAAGCCCAACCCCTGAAGAACAACCCCACATCATAATCCCCCCATTCACCAAACTTTACACTTTGCACAATGCAGTCAGGCAAGTACCGTTCTCCTGACAACTGCCCAACCCAGACACGTCCATTGGATTTCCAGACAGAGAAGCATGATTTATCACTCCAGAGGACACGTCTCCATTGCTCTAGAGTCCAGTGGTGCAATGCTTTACACTACTGCATCCAATGCTCTGCATTGCACTTGGTGATTTAAGGCTTGGATGCAGCTGCTTAGCCATGGAAACCCATCCCATGAAGCTCTCTATGCACTGTTGTTGTGCTAATCTGAAGGCCTCATGAAGTTTGAAGGTCTTTAGCTATTGACTGTGCAGACAGTTGGCGACCTCTGATGCGCTTCAGCATGTACTGACCACTCTGTCATTTTACGTGGCTGTTGCTCTCAGTTGCTTCGACTTTGTTATAATACCACTAACAGTTGACCGTGGAATATTTTGTAGCAAGGAAATTTCACAGATGGACTTATTGCACAAGTGGCAACCTATCACGACAACCTATCACAGTACCACACTTGAATTCACTGAGCTCCTGAGAGCAACCCATTCCTTCACAAATGTTTGTAGAAGCAGTCTGCATGCCTAGGTGCTTGATTTTATACAGCTGTGGCCATGGAGGTGATTGGAACACCTGAATCCAATGATTTGGAGGGGTTTCCCAATACATTTGGCAATATAGTGTATGTGTATATTATTTGTTGTTTGTACCCATAGTACAGCCCAGAAACAATACTGCACATTTTGCTTTTTATATCCTACCTAAAACATACTGACATAAAGGCCAGGTTCACATTTGTACAGGTGGTGCTGCTGCGGGACCTGTACATATACCGCCAGCCGCAACCACCCACACAGACATACAGAACCTGTGCACGTGTGCCATTAATCCTAATTGTACGCCACCTTGGTTGCCGCGTGGGCCGCGATTTCAAAAATAGTGTAGGCACTTTCCTGCATGTCGAGGGGCATGGCACCACATTCAAATGAATGGGTTCTCGTGCCCGCAACCTACACGGCTGCACAGGTATGAACCTAGCTTAAATGACACTGATACTAACTAAAAAAAAGTTTTGTATTTTTATTCTTGCCTCAAAAATACTGATCTTGACCTTTGACCCTTACTTGACTCAAACACTAACCCTGGCACTAGGTCAAACCTTGATCAAGCAATTTTTTTTATTATTTTACATTTTTTTTACACGCATTTGTTTGTTTATTTATTTCCCTGCAAGGAGAGAGAGATACAATGTCTCTCTCTCTCTCCATTTAGAGAGAAATAACTGTAATTTTAGCGGGAAGGGGTTAAGCAATTGGCTCCAAAAGACATAACCAGTATTGTGATATCACAGTAAAACACAAAATCTTTTACATTATTCTTGCAATTGCACTTCAGGAATTACAAATAAATATGCAGTTCACTAAAGCTGGCCATACATTATACAATTTTATTTCATTTCCTTTAGATTTACCTTGAACTATGTAGTGCAAGGGCTTGCCTGACTGCATACAAATTGAAAGAGTTTAGGGTTGACCTCATACTATATGGTTTTGGTAAATCTAAAGGAAAATTGTACAAGAAAATTGTATAAGGTATGTAACTTTTAGATTACAAAAACAATGTATTTTAAGCTTGAGTTGTTTTTTTAGCCTAGATAAACATCACAGAATTAGACAATTTCAGGTGTATGTGTCCAATATATTTTGAAAAAAAATACTTATATATTATATTATATATATATACAGTATCATGCCACTGTATTTTGTAGGGTTTTTTTTAAATCCTCTAAGTATCTTATTCCTGCAGTACTGTTGTGTGGTCACGTGATCATTCCCTCTTTGGCATCTGCAGGGAAAGATCTTTGGGAGGGGCTTCTATTACTCTGCTGATGTATGCTCTCTACATTAGCAGAGTATGTTTGCAAAGAGCAATTCAAATTAAATTATAAATATAAAAAAATGTTTTACAGCTCCCTATAAATCTTTACTGAACATCAAATGTGTTTTTATGTGCATTAATATGGTGTAGGCAAAGTCAAACATAAAATGACACTAGCTTTCATTTTGTTCAGACGGCATCTGCATCCAAGGTTTTTATTTACTTTACAGGTGTTAGCAATTTAAACTAAGCATTTTTGTGTATTTCTTAGTGAATGTAATCAACCTATCAATCAGCATACTATATCCTGACCCCATAGTATTAAGCAATAGGAGGACATTGAGGAGGAGGGAGTGAGAGGAGTGTAATTTACTACTGTGTATTCATCCACATGTGTGACTCTCTTGTCACATGGGTTGCACAGATAAGAAAAAGGAGGAAATGAAGAGCTGTAAAATGAACTGAAACTAGAGAATGCTCAGTAGAGGGCCTAAAAAACCTTCAGTATGCAGCCCCCCCTTATACTCACCCGAGCCCGATCCCAATCCAGCGATGTGCACAAAAGCAGAAGCTTTCCTGGGTCTCTGCCTCCTCATTAGCTGAGACACAGCAGTGGGAGCCATTGGCTCCTGCTGCTTTGAGTCACAGCCAGTGAGGAGGGAGTGGTCGGCTCAGGAGTGAACATGCATGAGTGCACCCATAGCAAGCAGCTTGCTCTGGTGGTACTCAGAAGGGGGGAGGAGCCAGAAGTGCCTGTGGAGGACACCAGAAGAGGAGGATCAGGGCTATAGGTAAGCATGACATGTTTGTTATTAAAAAAATCTGAACCTTCCCAATCACTTTAATGTCCCAATTTCTTCTGCAATTATCTTCTACACTAGCTTTTCAATCAAACATTATGGGGTATATTGGTCAATGATTCTCAGAATAGTTCATAGATATTCATCCAAGTGAGATTTCATGGGATTTGCCTTGCATTCTACAATTGCATTCACCCAATTTACAATAGAATGAATGTATGAATGCAGCTGCTGATGAACAGTCATGAAATCTCTCATGAACGGTATCAGTGAAAATTCAGATAGCCTGCAGGTCAGCAATAGCTCTTCATGATGCTGAAACTGATACCGTTCTAAGCACCTCACAATGCTATTTCTGGTTGGAGGGTTAAATGTTATTTTATTTTTTACATAATTTTTTTCCAGTGTAATGAAACACCGTGCTCCCTCCCCTCCCCAGAGTTACATAGTTAGTCTGGCTGAAAAAAAGTCATAAGTCCATTTAGTTCAACCATAAAAAAAGAAAAAGTTATAATCCTATGCCCACAGTTGGTCCAGAGGATTGCAAAAACCCAGCAAAGCATGATACAATTTGCTCCTGCAGGGGAAAAAAAGTCCTTCCTGATCCTCCAAGAGGCAATTGGATATTCTCTGGATCAACTTTACCTATAAATTTTAGTATCCAGTTATATTCTGTGTATCTAGGAAAGAATCCAGGCCTTTTTAAAGAAATCTACTAAGCTGGCCAGAACCAACTCTTGAGACAGTCTATTCCACATTTTCACAGTTCTTACTGTAAAGAAACCTTTCCGAATTTGGAGATTAAATGTCTTTTCCTCCAGACGTAGAGTGCTCCCTTGTCCTCTGTGATTACCTCAAGGTGAATAACTCTACACCGAGTTCACTATATGAACCACTGATGTACTTATATATGTTGATCATATCCCCTCCCTGCTCCTCCATGCCTCTTATCAGTTTGATTGTCCTTCTCTGCACTTTCTCCAGTTCCCCAATATTCTTTTTGTGAATTGGTGCCCAAAACTGAACTGCATATTCCAGATGAGGTCTTACTAATGATTTGAACAGGGGTAATATGATATCTCTCTCTCTGGAGTCTATACCTCTTTTAAGAGAGGATTTTGCTCGATTTAGAAACTGCAGCTTGGCATTTCATGCCATTATTAAGCTTGTGATCTACCAGAACTCCCAGATCCTTCTCCACCATTGATTCCCCCAGTTGTACTCCCCCTAGTATGTATGATGCATGCATATTTTTAGCCCCCAAGTGCATAACTTTACATTTGTCAACAGTAAACCTCATTTGCCACATAGTTACCCAATTAACCAGTACATTGAGGTCAGCTTGTTGGAGACATCCTGCAAGGACATTATTCCACTGCAAAGCTTGGAGTCATCTGCAAAGACTGAAACTGTATTTTTAATCCCAGGCCCTATATCGTTAGTAATCCAGCTTTGTGCTCCAGGCATACAACCTGATATCCAAGTAACATGGGATCTGTAAGCATGCAGCTCCCCTGCAATATTGATAAGGGGTTCACCCATAAAAAGGGGTCCCCCTCAGAAAGCATTGATGCTGATAGGTGAATTTAGTACAAACATAGTGTATATCCTAAAATTTCCTCAGAGTTCCGCATTTTCCTTTTCCTAGATGATCTTATATATAGTGGGGGAATTCTTCGGAAAGAGGATCTATCACAAAAAAAAAAAAAAAAAAATGAAAGAATGAGTTGTGGACTCAACCCCACTAACGTTTTAGAGAAAAGAGGGAAAGTGTCACTAAATTTAAACTGCCAAATATTATTACACAATATATATATATTTTTTTAATGATCCATATGACAATAAATGTGTACAACATACAATTTAAATTTAACTTGCGCAAGCATTTAAATGAAAACACATACAAACTGGCATCCTCTTATGTGAGCAAACATTTCCTATATATAACGCAAGAATAAAGTAGCCCCTTAGAGTTCAATATTGGGGGTTAGAACCCCTGGGGATCCAAACATGACCAATTAGTATGGGTTTGAGCTCCCTGATAGCCCCATGTTATGTACTATCTTTATAAAGTGTCTCAGATGCTGGTAGGTAACTTGTATTGAAATAATATCATACAGATCACATTGGTGTCAAGACATATTCAGTGCACTATGAAGATTATATATTAATCATACAGTGGAAGTCTTCACATGGCCAACCATAGAGGACATGCACATCAGCAGTGGGATTTAATCAACACCTTCTCTATACAGTGAAGGCATATGCAGATCCTCTCATTCACATCTTTATGCAGTGGATCAGTATATTCATGCACATCCAGCTACTACACTTTGGTCAAACTAAGAGAGAAATTCTTGGTATATACAGTTTTATACCCCACGTGAACAAGCAATGCAGCGCCTTCTGTGTACAGTAGAAGGTATATGTAATTCATCTCATGACCATCTTTGTACAGTGGATTAGTGTAATCATACACATTCAACTATTTCACAATGGGTCATACAGAAAAAAAAAGTTCTATGTTTATATGATACCCTACTTTAACATGTAATGCAGGTGCCTCCAGCATATCAACTGATGTGTTAGTACTGCATCTGAGTGGCATTATTATATTCACAGTATGCTGTAATAGGCACCAAAAAAGTCCCACCAGTCTGGCAATAAATTAGTTAATGATCCATGTCCCAAATGTGGACAACCACTTAGAGATGAAATGTGGCCACTTTATGGCATAAAGCAATCAGCATTCATAAAGTCCCCATTAGCCATTTAAACCAAGATATGAAAAGTATGGGTCTGATTCTGAATATCGTAATCCATCCATTGGTAAATCTGTATTAAAAAGGAGAAGTAAGCCAGTGAGGAAAGGCCACCTGACTGGTTTCGCCAGAACATTGGCTGAGTTAGCAACCGCCTGGCGGTACCTCTAGCAGTCCACAGGGCAGGATTCCCCAGAGCGCGGGGTCTAAGCCCCAGCCTGCTTGTTCACCAGGGCCCCTGATGGTGGGGATGGACTTGGAGCAGACTGGAACCA